CAAGTGGCAGAAGCTGTTTAACGAGCTGGGGTTTCTGTAATCTCCAGGCAGGTAGGTCTACGTGGCGAGTGAGGGATGAGAAGAGTGATGAGGACAAGGGTCCCAGCAAGCAAAGAAGGCAAACGCTTGGCTGGGGGGGGCAGAAGGTACGCCAGCAGCCTCCATCTTTCTCATAGAAAATGATCAGGTTTTCGGTGGGCAGGGTCACTTAGTGCAGTGCATAGTAGGCTGCTAACGAAGGGGTCACCAGACGCGGCTCAGTCTTCCTGACGTGGCTGGCAGTGGCTTGACAATGGCTCCAGTGGGCAGTGTGCCCCTCTACCACTTCCACCCATTCCTCCTGGCTCGGCCTTCCTCCTGCACGGATATGTTCTCTCTCCTGGCAGAGTGTGAGCTCCCTGAGGACAGGTCAGCCCGTGCACAGACGGGCACTGAGGAGATGCTGCTCGTTAGCTGGTTCATTGATTGATCTTCCTGTGTTTGGAAGACACCTGTCATTCCCTACACACACACACACACACACACACACACACACACACACACACACACACACAGATACATACACACACACAGATACATACACACATAGTGACAAACACACCATCACACAATACACACACACCATACTTAAATACACATAACATACCGCCCACACATGCCATACATGCATATGAACATACTATAGCAATGTAAATACACTACACATATACCACACAACACATGCCACACATATACAACACATGTGTACATCATGCACATATGAAAACATATGTCACACACAAAACACAACACATACACGCCACACATAACAACACTATATATGCCACACACCATAGCACACATAAATACACCACACATACCACAATATACACAAATATACCACACACACCGCACATAACACACATACACCACACATTGAAACATACAACACAATCCACAATACCACACATACAAACACCGTACCACCCACACACACACACATACACACACATTGCTTGTTTGTTTTTTTAGGCAATTAGGGTTAAGTGACTTGCCCAGGGTCACACAGCTAGTAAGTGTCAAGTGTTTGAGGTTGGATTTGCCTGACTCAAGGGCCAGTACTCTATCCACTGCACCACCTAGCTGCTCCCACAACACACACATATACCCATCACACATGTACATATACCACAAACATATATATGCCACACACACACAAACATATACCATACCATACAAACACTATATAATATACCTACCATATATATACACAGTCACACACTCATACACACAACATACATGCATACCACTAAAGCATACGCACCACATGCAAATACAACACAACATAATGCCACACATATACAAACACACCACACCATGCATGTTACACATACAGACACATGCTACATACACACCTACCACATTTCCATACATGCCACACACATTCTACGCACATACACATACACCGCACAACCACTGCAAACATGCCATGCATTCGTGCATACATACAAACACACATACCTATAAACACATGATGCATATTCAAATATTTATCATACCTATAAACATACAACACATATACAAATATTTACCACACACCACATATATCACACACATACACAACACCCACATCACACACATGCATACCTCACACCATACACACCCCATGCATACACATGCCATACACTCACATGCTGCATATACAACATGTGTTGTAACATACAACATAGCACACATACCACACAAACACATAGGCCTACCACAAATATACACCATACATGTGCCACATGTGCATGTAAACACACAACACACTATACATATAGCCCAACACACACAAATACACACCCCACTTACACGTGCCACACGCAATACACCACAGATACATACCACACAACCCCACACATAGACAACACACCACACATACACACCTCACACACCACTCATACACATACTCACACATGCCATACATACATACATAGAGATACAGTACACATAAACACATCACAATACAACACACATACTTACTATACACCCCACACATACACATACTACACACTCATATGCCTCACATACAAACATACTGCACAACACAGTACACACATGCCACACAAACACATATACCATAATACATACCACACATACATGCAAGCACACAACATGCCATTCATACACACACCAATACACACTCCACTTTACATATGCCACATATATATATACACACACACCCCACACACAAAATATATACCCCCCACACCCCACACATAGACAACACATACCACACATGTATAAACACAAAATACACCATACATACCACACACACGAACACATAACACACACTCCATATATACACACAACCACACATAAACACATAGACACACCACACATACAGGCATACAACACCACATAATATATACATACCACATACACACACAAATACATATACACAACACAAATGCACACACCACACCATACAAATATACCACACATATACACACAAACATGTGTGCACCATACATGCCACCCTTAAAGACATCACAAATACACACAAAACACACACACCACACACATTCCGTTACATCTTTAAACAGAATACAAAGCACACAGACCTTAATACACAATTCACACAACCACACATATATACAAGCACATGAGTGTATATATTCGACATATATACACAAATACACAAAACAAACAACACCACATATATACACACTACACACACATGCACACCACACACATGCTTACCACACCTGCCATCTCCATGCCATACGTACATACGTACATACATACATACACACACACACACACTATAGATACCACATATACAGTTTGTTAAGGAGCTCACTGAACTTTTCTTCTTGCGGTGGACAGGCATGCGTCAAGGACATACTTGGTTGTTTGCACCCCAAGCTGGACCCCCTCAAACACAACACATACCATATATCCACACACTATACATACACACCACACATAGCACTTATATATACACCACATATACACATGCCACACACTCACATGCCACAGTATATTCATCACACGTACACACAAGCAGAACACACACTCCATGCATGTACACACACCACACTCACCATACCACACACATCACACATAATACATAAAACATTAACACACATCATATTCACACACCACACATATAGATACCGCAATACAAACACACAACATATGCCACACCTGCCTACACACATGACACTCACCACACATACACACACCTCACACACCATATATAAACACAAACACACAGCATGCCATACATACCAGAAACTCACCCCACACATACATACAACACAAACACACACCACACAAATATACCACAACACATCACACGTATACACTCACCACAGATATATACCGTACTTACATACCACAAATAGTACATGCACCACACTTATACACATATCACACATGCACACCATTTACATGCCACAATCTGTATGTGACATTCACCACGTACGCACATATCACACGCATTGTTCACATACACCTATCAGACATGTACCACGCGTACACATGCATGCCACACACACACCACACACATACAAACACATACCACACACCACACTCACAAACCACAATCCCCCAGCACAGCCATACACATACAGCACACATACGTACCACATACATACAAACAGCAGATACAACACACACATATACCACACATACAAAAGCACATAACCATATATACATACCACACACTTCTATATACCACATGCCAAACACTATACATATACATACATAACACCATACACATAAAACATATACATGCCACACATACACATATACATATACTTATACATACACGCTATGTGTGCTGTGTGCCACATAGATTCATACACATAGCATATGTACATGCCAACCACATGCGTACATATATACACATACCACACATGCACACTCTTCACACACACACCACACTTATGCGCACACACACCTCACACATGTACACACCTCCCCACATAACACCATACAGACACCCCCCACAGCACCACACATACACACACTGCACACAAAATGTACAACCCCTACACATATGCCACCATATAGACAGACAACACACATCATACATACACACAACCACACTGCACGTGTGCGCACACACACACACACACACACACACACACACACACTTACTGCTTTTCTTTTCTCCTGGCCAACTCTTCCCAAGTCTTTCAGGTGATCTCAGTGGGGCCTGATCCGTAACCCTCTTCCCATCCTGGCTGCACCAGAAGTGTCCATGACCAGAACAGGGCCTTGGGACTTTGGGGACTGCCCTGTCACACTCTTGGTTGCCAAGGGCCATCTATCATGTAGTCTGTGTCTTTACCTTCCCAAGTTCCTAGTGCTGATGAGGCAATAATGCTTCATTGCTTCCCAAACTCTGTCATCTCATTAGTTGGGTATTCCTTCCTCAGAAGCAGACAACAACCCCTTGATGCCTTAATAGATGCTTTCATGAGTTGCTGTGATCAAGAAACATCATTACCTTGTGATGAGCTAGGATAGGCCTCTCAGTTTATCACCAGGCCCATCCTCAAAGCCTTTCCATCCCGGGGTGACCTGTTACCCCAGGACTTTGCTGGCATCGCCTTGGAGAAATTAGGATAAGCTCCTCGTCACCCTGAGGTATGAGAGGAGCATTTCAGTGGAGGCAGAGAGCATTGGGACAGGCCAGCCTAGACATCGGGCCAGAGGCTCTGGCTCTCCTCCCACACCGTGGATGCTGCCTCTGTGACATAGTAGAAAGAGTGTCAAAGTCAGGCCTTGGCTCTGTCGCTTACTAACTGACCAACCGGGTAACCTTAGCAATCCCTCTGAGCCTCAGTTTCTCTGATGTGTGGAAAGTGCTTATAAACCATTCAGCATCATGGCAGTGTTACAGGTAACGGCCCAGCACTCCCACAGATCAGTGGGAACAATAGGGGGACATCCTGCCCTTCCTGGAGGCCTCTGCTGAGGAAGGGCTAGCAGCATCACATGTTCTTTGTCTCCCTCTTTTCTTTTAGATTTTGATCCAGCTCTTGGAATGATGACAGGAATCCCACCGATCACACCCATGATGCCAGGCCTGGGGATCGTTCCTCCTCCAATTCCTCCTGATATGCCCGTGGTAAAGGAGATCATTCACTGCAAAAGCTGCACTCTTTTCCCACCAAATCCAAGTAAGCCACTTGCCACAAAATTTCTCCTCTCACATATCTGGGTACCTGAGAAATGGTTCACTTTTCTAAAAGGAATTCCTACCTAAGGCCTTCATAGATGTACAGGCTTACCCAGGTCTACCATAGTTTACTTGATACTGCCCAGCCTGGAGGTTAGGTGAAACAGTCTTCCAGGGGGCCAGTGCAGCTGTCAGAACAAATGGAGAAGCTTATTTCAGGCTTTCTGGAGCTTAGAATAAGAGTGGGGGTGGTTATAACCTTTTTAGGTTGTCTTCGTTGTACTTAAATGTATAATAAGGAAAACAATTTATTTGGCTACAGAGGGGAATAATTGATACGAAGTGGTCGCTAAAATATTCCCATTAGGTGTAATCTCTCCTCCTTCTTGTAGTCAGTAAGCATTTATTAAGCACCTCCTGTGTGCCTGGCATTTTGCTAAGTGCTAGAGATACAGAAAGACTCACAATCTGACACAGGAAACAACACGCAAACAAACACGTACAAAAGACAGTCCCCACTGTCAGGGGGCTCCCAGTCTAAGGCCAACCCACATGTGGAGACTGTGCGCTCTCAGTCTATTACGCACTTACCCAGTGCACATAAGAAAATGCAGATGATGCTATGCAAACAGATTGCCACCAGAGACCAATCAATCTTCACTTTTGATAATATCAGAGTATAGATGTCTGCTTTGAATATCGTGGGATGTGACTCCACTATCTTAAAATTCAGGCCACAGAGGTTGGAAGGACAACATGGGTCAGTGGCTAGAAAGCCAGTCTGAGCCAGGACCCCCTTGTGCCTCATACTGTCTGTGTGACCCTGGACCAGTCACCTAGCCTCTCTCTGTCCCCAGGTCAGTCTCTAAGTCACAGGAATGGTGCCAAATTGCATTTTTATAAAGAGTTTTCTCATCTAGGAATCCTCTACACCAAAAAATCACAGGTTTAAGTTAACAGAATCAGTTCATTCCCAGACTGTTTCCTGTAACAGATGGTTGGTAAAAGTATTTAGACAATGTGTGGACCAGTATTTCCTGGCAAACACCATCAGTTGTTAGGCAAAACATGATATGAGATTAAGCTGCTAATTCACCAGAATGAAGGGAGAGGGAGGTGGCATCACAGTAGGGTTTCATCAGGAGAAGATACAGTCTGGTTACAATGTATCAATGCCATTTCCCTCAAATAGGGGCTAACATTAATACATTGAGCATTTATTAAGTGCCTACTACGTGCCAAGCACTGTGCCCACTAGGTGCTGGGGATGCAAAGACGAAACAAAACAGGCTATGCTTTCCAGGAGCTTGCTTTATATATTACATGGGATAGTATTGCTTTTTTCAGTGCCTGTACTTTCAAAAGATGGTTTTTTTCTTCTAACTGAATCCAAAATCAGACCTGCCTTATTCCCAGCCGTGTATTGTGTTTGCCTGTTGTCTCTCAGACTTAGTACATGACTGGCCCGCCTCCTTGTGTGCAGTCACTCACGTTCTCAGGGATGACCTCTTGTCAAGAATAAGTCACTTCCGGTGACATATGTCCACTTGCTCCATGCAGGGGGGCAGGGGGTGTTATGATTACCACTGCAATCATCCTTCCTGACTGATTCTCAATTTGCTTTCAGTTTGTTCAGGTGTTTGGTCCTGGCCTGTGATTGCATTGGGGCAGCGACCTCCTGGTGTGATATGGGGGGACAGCCAGTGCAAAGAGTGGGGGCGGGGAAGGGAATAAGTACCTGAGAGGCAGGAAGGAGGTAGGTTTGAGGGTGGCAGGCATGCTCACTTCCACAGATGACACCAGAATCAGGATAAGATATGGGTACAAGAGGGACAGTGAGAGGAGAGAAACTTCAGAGAGACTGAACCAAAGTGAGAGTTCTTAGGGAATTGCCAGGGGCACTTGGTGGTTAAGTGACTTGCTCAGGATCATACAACCAGTATGTGTCAGAGGTAGGATTTGAACATAAGTTTCTTCTGACTCTAGCCATGCTGGGGGCTTGGTTTTCTTATAAATTCTTAAAAATATCTTTTTTGTAAATGACCTCAATGTCACTGAAGACTTTGCACTCTGAGCCACTTTGGGCAGTGGCCCTGGGGCAAAGCTGACTTGCTACCTAGAAATGCACACTGTCAGCTAAAGTTGGGGCTACAGCTCATTGGAAGCTGCCTTTGCGAAACAAACAGGAGCCTCCAGAACCTCTTATCGTGTGCCATCTTACAAAAGGGTCCCTTTGTTAAGCACCAAGTTAATTAAAGTTAATCCCAGGGCCCCAGCCAGAAGGGCTGGAGAGCCAGGCCAGGGCTGCCAGGAGGGGGCAAGGTGACAGAATAGCTTAGGCCCTTTGATGGCCGAGGCAAGCGCCCAAGTGGACTAGCAGTAGAATTGGAGATCTACAGCTGGAAGTCAGAGTTTTCCCTTCCAAAGCTGTGACAGTTTTATGTGGCTACCCTTTGACACCGCGTACTGGAGTCATGGGGTCTTAAGGCCAGTCAGTCAATCAACAAACATTTATTAAGCATATATTATATGTCAGGCACTGTGCTAAATGCTGGGGATACAAAGAAAAGCAAAAAATACAAAAGCAGTCCCTGCCCTCGAGAAGCTCCCATTCTAATGGGGAGCACAACATGTAACTATCTAGCTATATACATGATCTATACTGACTTGATGGGAGGTAGTCTCAGAAGGGAAGGTGCTGGCAGCTGGGGGGAATGAGAAAGGCCTTCTGCAGAAAGTAGGATTTGAATTGAGTCTTAAAGGAAGCCACAGGTCAGAGGTGAGGAGGAGGAGGAGCATTGTAGGCATGGGGGAGAGCCAGTGCAAAGAGGAGGGAAGGGGAAGGGAGTAAGCATTTATATAGTGCCTACTATATGCCAAGCACTGAACTAAACACTTTACAATTGTTACCCTGGGAGAGGAAACTGAGGCAGGCAGACAGGTGAAGTGAATTTTCCAGGGTCACATAGCTAGTAAGTGCCTGAGGCTGGATTTGAACTCAGGCATTCCTGACTCCAGTCCAGTGCTCTAACTGTTGCACTTACCGCCTAGGAAATGGAATGTTATATATGAAGAACTGCAAATAGGCCAGTGCGGCTGGAAAGGTAGGAAGGGTAATAGGAGCTCACTGAATAGGGAAGTGACATGGTCCAACCTGGACTTTAGGAAAGTCACTTGGGCAGCCAAGTGGACGACAGATTCGAGGTGGGAGAGAATTGAGGCAGGGAGTCAGTGGGGAGGCTGGGGCAAGGGTTGAGGTGTGAGTTTGAGAGCCTGCACAGAAGGGGTGTGTGTGTGCCATTGGAGACATCGTGAAGGTAGAAATGGCCCGCTTGGACCTCAGCTTGGCTAAGTGCGTGAGTGTGAGTCAGGGGTCAAGGATGACCCCAAGGCTGGGAGCCCAGGTGACGGACAGGACAGAGAGGACACGTTGAGTTGGGGATGCCTATGGGATATCTACTTTCAGAATACTGATTGCTGGACAGTGGCTAAGGAGCAGACCCCAGAGCCAGGAAGCCCTGAGTTCGAGCCCTGCCTCTAACACATACTGTCTATGGGACTCTGGGCTCTCAGCAAGATGCTGACCTCATCTAGGAGCTGCTTTAACTTCATGAACTCCCAGGCCCAAAGTTACACAGCTAGGAAGTAGCAGAGCTGGGATTTGAACTCAGGATTTCTTCAAATCCCATGCCTGCTCCATTATGCTAGCACCTTGTCTGAAGATGAGAAGTAAGAACCCCCCACGTAGAAAGTGGCTAATTGTGGTTGAGGGGGAAATTAACATTAACAGAAAACAGGGAGATACCTTAGGAATCCTCTTGTCTAACCCCCTCACTTTACAGTTAGGGAAACTGAGGCCCAGAGAGCACTCTTCCTAAGTGAATCATGTAGATCTGGAAGATACTTCAGAGGCCATGTAGTCCTGTGAGGAAGTTGAGATCCAGAGAGCAGGCATACCTTGCTCCAGGTGACATACCAAGGTAGTGAGCATCAGAGACAGGTTTCAAGCCCAAGGCCTCTGAATGGCAGTAAATAGAGGAACCTCAGGTGGGAAGCCAGGGCCTCTGCTCCCAAATCCAGTGCTTTCTCCATCACCCCATGCTGCCTTCTGAGAGTGGCCACGGTGAGACAGTGGAGGGTTGGGGTGTCTCCCGTGGCTCAGCCACATGCCCAGGAGGGCTCCCTCTAGGAGTTGGCCCAGATGTCCCCATCCAGGGCTATTGATTCTCTCAGAGAACAGACACTGGAAATGCTAGTCATAGGGGAAGTGCCCATGACACAACAAGCTGCTCCCCAGGGGTGGCCACCTGTGCACTTTACAGCTCTGGCTCTGAGGACCCAGCTTCAAATCCTGCCTTTGCCACATACAGGCTGCATGGCCCAGGGCAAGTTCTTTACCCTCCCTGGCCTCAGTTTCCTCCCCTGTAAAGTGAGAGGGTGAGGCCAGATAGTCTCAGAGGCTACTTGTGTCTCTAGATCAAAGATCCTCTGACCTTTTAAGCCCCTAGAGCAGTGGCTATAACCCAGACTCCCTCCTCTTGGCCCTCAGTGTGGTTGATGTACCAGCAGTATATGGGGCAGAACCTGAAAGGACAGAGGACTCCAGACATTCAGACAAATGTGGACTCAGTCAGGAGACATGGGTTTGAAAACTCCTGGTTATTAGCTGTGTGGCCCCTCTCTGGGCCTCATTTTCCTCATCTGTAAAATGGGTATAGTGCTATTTGCATTGCCCACTGTACAAGGTCATCCAGTCCAATCTTCTCATTATATATGGTACATTATATATGCTTATTGAGTCCAATTGAATTGCCTCTCAGGACCCTGCCAGCCCTGATTCTGTACAATCCCAAGATTCTGGGCTTTGTGACATTACTCTCTCTCTGGGTGGAGGGGTCATGTCCAGGTGCATGGAGAAAGTCATCTTCTTCCTCTATCAGGCTGGCTCAGTTAAAGAGAAAGTAGATAGAGTAGCAATAAAGATTCCTAGGGCTTCTAATT